GCGCTTAGTGTCATGTATCTAAGCATGATATAAAAGAACACTGAGCATTATTATATGCACTATAATCATGTATGTTTAATTATACGTTTAAAATCAAGTATCTGGGTATGTATGTATAATTATAGTAGGTATGGTTAGATAAGAAAGGTATTTAAATTTTGAAAGAGAATGATTATATATAATCATATGAATGTGTATGTAAATTCACTATTAGGCAAGGACCAATACTAAAATTGTGTACGCACATTAACTATTTCTATAAATTTGCTATATGTAGGGACCATATTTGCATGTTTATGAGACATAATGTTTTTCTAAATCTGCCTATAATTAGTTATACTATAATATTATAATATAAATTGTAATTAAAAAAAGATAAAAATTAATATAAAATGTATAAAAAATTTTACATAGAACATTGAAGCCTATTCTCATAAAAGAGTTTGGGACTAAACTTGTGATTTTTTATAAAACAAAAAGAACCATTTAAGTAATTGTCTTTACAATGCGTGTAAACCATTCTATTATGATTAAAAGATTCAATTCAAGTCAACACTTCATCTTCATTTATAATTTAACTCTATTTATTCAACCATTTAACATAATACATAACTCAAACCATGCTTGTTCCTACAAAATTACTCCTTGTTACCCTCATTAACATCATTCTCTTTTCTTTCTTCTTATATACAATCAACAACCTCAAAACAACATAACTTCTCAACAAATCTAATCCATTTCAAACCCATCAATTAATTTAAAAAATAAATATATATTAATAAACAATTTCTACAAACAATCTATCCACAATCCACTACAAACTAGAAATTTGATCCGAACCCACATCCGCCTGAACCGAGCCCTCAACACTAAACCCAAACGACTGAGCCAACCGAGACGCATCCTGAACCCTGAGCCGTGTGCCCTGCTGCCCGACCACCACGGCTGCAACCCGGGCAGCTAACGTCCCCATTCCCTTCAAACCCGATGCACCCCTTAATAACCCGTACAATATGCCCGAGGCATACGCATCCCCGGCCCCACATGTGTCCACTGGGACACATGGTGAAGGAGGGACGTATAAAGCTTCACCTTTTATGCCAATGTATGACCCACGGGCCCCATCAGTAACCGAAACTAATGGGACAAAATGACTTAAATATTGTGTGGAAGATATCGGGCTTTCTTCTGAAGAAAAATGACAAAATGCTCGGGCTTCATCGCTATTTGCAAACACGATGTCCGCATAGTTTTCCATGATTTCCCTAGAAAAAGAAAATATTATAATACTAATTAATTAAATCCCATTTGTATTTTCACCGTTTTATTGATTTATCCAATGAAAAAAATATTATTTTATGATTATTGTGATAATAGTTCGGCGGCTAAATTGATAAAAATAGCAAAACTATGCTATTCGAATGTATTTTTCCCTTTTTCTAAACATGGTAACCCAGAAAAATGTAAGGGAAACATACATTATTTTGGGAAATTTTTGATAAAGTCTAAAAAAAATTGAACAGAAAAGTCAAGATTATTTAATATTTTGTCCAAATTAACAAAAAAGTTTTTATTTTTGTTTCAACCGAAAATGACAGATTATCGTGTAAAATTAAAGAATCGGAACTATTCTGTTAAAAAAAATTAGGACTTTATCAAAAAAATTCCCAAAATAATGGGACTTTTCTGCATATTTCCCAAAAAAGTTAAATGGTATAATAAAAAAAAAAAAAAAAAAAAAGTAAGTGGCTAAATAGATAAAATGGTGAAAGTAGAGTCACCCATTATAGTAAGATATTTAATATGGCAAACTTTTACAAGACTGATTATTACGATTTCAATTCTCAATAATTAATTTTACAGCATATCCAAACACCCTTTAACTTCATAACATCAATTTCTCAAGAAAGTCGGAAAATTTTCATTTTTTTCTATAGTGATTAAACCATTATACTTAACCTAATTTAAACTTGCACATAAAATGTAAGCATCATAGAGTAAAAGTAACTAAAGGTAAACAAAACGTACCAAAAATCATCATAATGTCTCTCTATGCAAGTCACATCTGAGGCAGTAACAGCAACCAAAGCACCACTATCACGAGCAAATTGACAAATTTTCTTAATTGTTTTAATTGTGTCTGGAAATTCAAATAAATACCCTTCAACAACAAGAATATTTGTTTTGGAAATTATGCTCTCCATACTTGAATCATAGTTAATGTAAGATGATGTTCCCTGTCTCATAGAAATATGTAGAATGTATTAGACTTCCATATATTTTTTTCACTATAGCATTATACTTTAATTTTTTTTCCTATTAAAGCATTATTTTTTAGAAAGCTACCCAATTATAGCAATGTCATCCAAATACAAAGCAATTTTCAATTTCATTGCTATAATTGGATAGATTTTTCAAAGTAATTGGATATTTACATACCTGATATGCAAGCATTGTACGTTGTGCATCTGAGGTTGTCAGAACTATAACTGTCCCTGTGGTCCCATCTTTCACAGGTGCAGAAAGAAAGTTCACATTTGCACGCCTTAGTTTAGTTCTATAAAAACACACCATAATATTAAATAAAAATCAAAAAATAAAATTATATTTCTTGTTATTTTTTCCTTCCAATTCCTCAAGCATGATTCAGTTTCTCAAAGACTTTATCAACATGGTTTAGTTTATCCATACAACACCTAATGACTAATGTTAAAGGCAAGGGTATACCTGTAAAATCCACCCAATGGATCACCACCAATGCTACCAGCCATAGCTACATTCAAGGGAGGTCCAGCAATGGAGTGACCACCAAGTCTAGCCAATGCCACTAGGGTATTAGAAAGAGAGCCGCCAGCAGCCGCCTTGTAACTGCAGCCATCCATTGCTTGAAGAACCCTACCCCTCTCCTCATGATTCACGACCTTTCTTGTACCTTTGTCTAAACCCAATCTCATCAGAAACTCATCATCCACCATGCCCGAAAAATCTACCTATCAGAGAAAGAAGACCATATCATTTACCAGTTTTAGAATAAATACAAGCTCAGGCCCAAAAAAAGTTAAGAGACTATAGATTAAACCGAACTTGATAACAAGTATGATGGCATGACTGATGAAATTTGATGATAAACAAATAGGAAAGATTTTGAATTTCAAGATAGAATCTTTTTGACATTCTGGTAAAGAAAGAAGAACAGAGTTAGGGAAATGATTTGTAAACTCGAACACCTCCTAATTCCTACATGCTCTTTCTACGATTCAATTAGCACTGAATCTTTTGTAACCTGCAAATTGGGATATGTATAGTTTATGTAGTGTAATGCATTAAAAAGGGAATTGAATAAACGGCGAATCTATGGACATCTGGTAAGAGATAACATAGAAGGCAAACATATACTATTTCAGATAAAGATACAAAAGCAAAGTTAGAAGAAAATTAAATGTACCATGGCTTGGCCAAGACCCAATACATCCCATCGGTCAGGCAAAGGAGGAGGAGAAGAGTCGTAATCATCCTTATCCAAAACAGCACCAACTACGTCATCGTCGTCGTCGTCGTCTTCAATTGTGGAACTATGGTTGTCATCGCTGCTGCTGCTGGAAGAAGAAGAAGATGAGTACCTAGCAAAGGAATCCTCGTTGGACATAAGGAATGTTGATGTTGAATGAAAAGGGTATGTGAAGGAGGAATTGACATGGCATGGATTGCTGAAAGTGTTGTTAGAAAGAATAAGAAGACGACGGAAGGAGGAGGAGGAGGAGGATGAGGTGGAGGGACGAAGCGAGAAAAGGGGTGAAGATGCCCTAAAATTGGAGAGGTGAAGGGTGGAGAGTGGAGATGCGAGAGAGAAAGCCGCCATCACCGTTGTGTCCACCATCATCAATCACAAATTCTATAGGAATGGATTTACTTACAGCCACGTCTACATCCAATGCTTCCTTTCCCTTCTCTTCTCTCTTCTGCATACCACCAGAGAGCATGGTCTCGATAAATGTCATATTTGTATTTATCTTTGTAATAACAAGACTACAAGAGGGTAATATATAATATTAATACAAAAAAAATCAAGAGTAATTAAGTAATCTAATCAATTTTTTTGGTGGTTTTTTTTTTTAAATAATCAGTTATATATATATATATATATATATATATATATATATATATATATATAGAGAGAGAGAGAGAGAGAGAGGGGGGGGGGGGGGGAGGGAAGGATTATTTGAGAACATATAATTTCCCGATAACCAAAATGATTAGGATGTTTTGTGTCATTTTTGTAAATACCTGAAAATAAAAAGGGACGGGGGCATCCTATTGAAATTAATCAGGGACATTTTAGGGATTATGTAATTGATACACTCTTATCAGATTTAATCACGTCAAGTCCCTATCCCCATCTCTCTATCTTCATCCCATCTCTCTCTCTCTCTACCTTTCATCACACCTCCTACCATCCAGATCGTCGACGACGAATTGAAGAAACAACAGACCGACTGTGTGATAAGGATCGACAAATCGATGATATTTGGTACCAATGGCCTTCTCAATCGTCGGAGTGTGATATGATGTGGAGAAGAACCGCATCGTCTAGTTCATCGGAACCTACGCGGATCATCTACAAAGAAACGTTAGGCCTTCACTGGTTGGAGGCCCTGAACTACCTCCCTGAGACAGTCCTGGATTTGGAGGTTTATTCACATATTTGATGACTTTTGCTCCGAAAACAGGTTGGTGCCTGGTGTGAAGAGCTATATTGATGTCGAGAAACAGAAGGTGCAATGTATATTATGTCATATATTTAGTAAATGTCACACCGCCAAACCAAAACGGCGGAAACGTTCGGGGGCGGAGGACGTCATGTACAGTATCATAACAATGCATAATAGTAAAACAAGCAACAACATCATCCATTGCATTAATAATATACTTCAGTACAAGTGTGTTCTGTATAGTTTAAAAGACACCAAAATAAGAATCAAAATAAAAGACGAGTCTTGAACGTGCTCCGTCTTCTCAAAACCTGGTCATCGGTACCTGTCTACTGGTGACCTGAGAATACAAGTTATTTTGAAAGCGTAGATCAGCATTAAAACTGATGAGTTCATAAGTATTTTAGTGTCATTGGTTGTATAAGTTTGATGAAAGTGTTTGTAAATGTTTGATGTAAAAGTTTGTAAGTATTTGTTGTAAATGTTTG